AAACATATAACTGAACAAAATAAATGAAATAAGAATGAAATTTTACTAAGATAAATATAATTTAGTTCACATATATTCAATATTAAAATGTCCTAATGTCTATTATACCTTTTTATATAGTTTTTCTCAGAGTACCTAGGATATATATATATATATATATATATATGTGTGTGTGTATACAACCTAAATAAGGTGCTGACACAGAGAAAAAACTTAGTAAACAGAAATCTATAAACTATGACACCAAACAATTCCATCTGTTTGTTCTCTCTTAGGTCTTCGCAACAAGAATCTATATACAACAACCCACCCCCAAAAAATCACTGCTGTGGAGTTATATCAGACTCACAGAAACCCCTCCTTGGGTTTCTGAGGTGGTATCACTATGGAAGTAGATTGCTCAACCTTCCCCCTGAGGAGTGGCTGGTGGGTTTGAAACACCAGCATTCTGGTTAGCAGTCAAATGAGTTAAGCTCTACGCCACCAGAACTCCTTATACAACAACAGCATCTATCAGCATCTAATAATCTGACTTAGTAAATTAGGTGGTGAAAATAAAAAGGCAGAGATGTTCCCTACAGAAAAACAAAAAGTAAGTATCTAGAATTTACCTTTTTTTGCATAAAGGAAAAAAAAAATCTTTAAATTATAATAAAAATGTAAGTTTTAAAAATACCAGTAGACTCTGTCAAATGAAACTAAAATATCAGAAATTATTGTAAGATTATTTCTTTAAAACTTTTACTGATACTCTTTGTAAGTTCTATACTTTTAAAGGTATTTTCTTTTTCTTTGTCATAGATATCTCCAAAATAAAAGCACAGAATAAATGAAACAATTAATAATTACTGTTTGCATAAAGAAAATAGGGACTTTTGATTCTTTTGTGTATTACTTTTGAAATCTATATAGAAGACTTCATACTGCCTGTGAAATTTTTTTCTATCCTACATCTCAGCTTGTTGTCAATGATCCATGAAATGAAACCTTGGAGAATTTCTGCCGTACCATGGAATGATGGTCTCAACACAGATTTTCATTCCTTCTGCTAGGTACTCCTGATGTGTTTTTAATAAAGTAGCTACTTTAAATAAAGTATACTGCTCAATGCTGTATCATGGATTGAAGTAGGGTAGGAAAAACAAAAGGAACTACAATATACAAATAAACAGTTAAAACTTATCTGCTATAAATATTGTATGTTTCTCACCATTTTGCTTTAACATCAATGTATTTTCCTTCATAAATACATATGGATAAAAATAGATTAAAAGTGGATTTTCCCTTATTTTGTACTAAGGAGGAGAAATTAAATCCTATAAACATATTCAGAATAAATCCTACAAATACAGTCACAAATATTTCATTTTCTCGCCTAAAGCCTTTCTGATGGATACCAAGTATTAATCTTTTACCATATTAAAGTTGGAGAATAAAAACCTGATAATTACAGTTCAACATCATAAAATATAATAATGTTTATTAAATATATTTCTAATTCCATTCTATGAGATAAACTATGGCAAAAAATATTCTTCATAGTAGCATCTTAATTTTGAATCTGTAAAGCACTTACCAAAACCAAACCCACTGCCACTGAGTTGATTCCAACTCACAGTGACTCTATAGGATAGAGTAGAAATGCCTTATAGGGTTTTAAAGTCTATATATCCTTACAGAAGCAGAGTGCCACGTCTTTCTCCCATGGAATGGCTAGTAGTTTCAAATCACCATCCTTTTGGTTAATAGCTGAGTACTTAACTATTGTGCCTACATGGTTCCTCTATAAGGAACCAAGTGGAAACCAAACCTGCTGCCATGTGGTCAATTCCAACTCATAGCAACACTAACAGAACAGAGTAAGATTGCTCTGTAAGATTTCCAAGGCTGTAAATCTTTACAGAAGCACATCTTTATCCTGTGGAGCGGCTGATGGTTTTGAACTTCCAACCTTTTAGTTAGCAGTCCAGCACTTTAACCACTATACCACCAGGGCTACCTCTATAAACCACATGTGTAATTAAGTAAATGCAAGTAAGGGATGAGCTACAAATATTCAAAATTTCACATAAGCACCTAAGTATGGGTAATCAAGGTTGGGAAGAAATAAAAATGTTGAGAACAGAAAGAGAGGAAGAAGATGGTCTATACTGTTTAGTAAGATTTAGAAAGGCAGTGTTCAGTGCTCCTGCAGTATAAAATATGACTCTTAAAATATTTCCTCTCAAGTGCCATTTCCCAGGTCAAACTTTCAAAAGGTGTATTTTTTCTATTTTGTCAATTACATACAAGTGGATAGCATTTGACATTTTACTCCAGGAAAATGAAGTAATTCCAATATGTTCTCATTAGACATTTTAGAATTCTGATAAATACCATAAACTAATTACTGTTGAGTCAATGTCAATTCATGGGGATCCCATGCGTTACAGACTAGAACTGTATTCTATAGGATTTCCGTGACAGTTACTTATTAGAAACACATAACCAAGCTTTTCTTCAGAGGCAACTCTGAGTGGGTTCGAGCCACCAAACTTTTGGTTAGCTGCCATATGTATAACCAATTACACCACTCAGGGATTCATGCTAAATACTACAGGACTATGATTTTTTCCCCTCTGTCATCTACACCCTTTGCCTAATGCTAAAGAATAAGTCAATAAATATATGTTTATTCATGCTGTGACAAGCAAAATTCTTAGTGAGAAAGATGAGGAAAATACAAGGAAAAAAAAACAAACCATAAAAACTAGTCTTCAGTGATTATGAAATGCTTTTTGTGTGTTATCTCATGTACTCTGTACAGAAATGTCATATGGTTAATCTTGCTAATCCTGATTTTATAAATGAAGGAATTTGTGAGCTATCTGAGAAGTGGAAGTGCTCACTGTATATCAGCACCTGACACTGTGCCCAAAACAAACCTAGCAAATAAAACAGTGTACCTCCTTAAATTGAATAAACAGAAAGTGCCAAATAAATCAATGCTGGTTGATTAAAACATGCATTGTAAGGCATTTCATGGTAATTGTGGTGGTTATGTTTGTGGGTAAACTTGGCTGGGCCTGCTTGAGGGGCTGGGCAGCTGGTGGTAGTTATTCCCCATGATGAGAATGGCAATCAATTCCATGGTGGGATCTACCATAAACAGCTGAGTAGCTGCTTTGAGGATGTTCTCTGCTTCCCATATATAAGAAGCAGCTTTGGGAATGGTAGCTAGCTTATGGCATGCTTGGATCCTGCATGAAGCCGTGTCATCATTCAGCAGCCTGACATGCTCTGCTGACCTTGGGACTTCCAAAGGACTTAAATTAATGTCCTGCCGTGTGGTTTGTTAACATCAGGGCTGTGCCTTTTTACTTGTCAACTTTGGGTTTGTCAGTCTCAGCAGCCAGCAGCTATCTGAGTGAAGAAAAGCCTCTAGGTCCAGGGAGCAGGAGGCAGAACTGAACCCCAAGGCTGAGGAACTTTCACCCAGCCCCTAGAGCCTGGCACTTTGAATTCAGACTTCTAGCCTCCCAAACTGTAAGAGAATAAACTCCAGTTTATTAAGGTCATCACATTTGTGGTGTCAGAGTGGTACTAGTGAACATAACAGTAATAAAATACAAAATATTAATGTTATCAAAAAGATATTCTGACAACACCAGCATTCATTATAAAATTGTAAGTCACAGACCATAAATAAGTGTTCTATAAAAAATTTGAGAACCTTTACCACTAACAGACAATGCAAAAGAAAAACTGATTTATAATCCTAGATTTTTTCTCTAACCTATTGTAAGTCCATTACCCTTAGAGGGCTTCAGTTTTCCTACCTCTAAAATGAAGTTTTGACTTAGATGAGTTCTACAGTCTTTAAAGGTCTCTAAGGTTATATAAGGAGCTCTGGTGGCATAGTGCTTAAGATATTTGACTGCTAACCAGAAGGCTGGTGGTACAAACCCACCAGCCACTCCTCAGAAAGATTGGGCAATCTACTTCTGTAGTGATACTGCCTCAGAAACCCAAGGAGGGGTCGCTATGAGTTGGATCTGACTTGACAGCAGTGAGTTTGGTTTTTTTGGTTTAAGGTTATACAAATAAAATATTAGAAAACTTTATCAAGGTTTCTTCATTTGAATATAAATCTTAGTAAGCCAGGACAGTTATCAACTTTTATAAAGTGTGTAATATGTACATTTTAAATTGTGAAATCTTTAAGAAGCAGCACAAATTTAATCTTTGAACATTTTAACAACACTCACAAAAACACCAACGTCCCCTCCCCTTTCAAAGTCATTTGTTTTTCCAAAAAGAAACTTTACTTCATCCTAGGAATATTCAGATTTTATGCTATTAATTATACACTTGAATCTTATTCTTCCTTTGCCTGTTTTGCTATCTTCTTCTTTCTCCTTCTAACTTCTAACCGTAGGTTGTACTTTATTTTCTGACTCACAATCCTTTCTCTGGTATGTTCCAAAACAAACAAGTTACCTAAAGATCTCACATCTCTCTCTCTAACTTACCATAACATTTAGGGAACCAGGTACTAAGATAACAACCTTTTCTACTGCTACTTATATTATTGGGCACTTTTTTCTCCTAAGATCCAATATGAGACAACTATATAATCTTCACAAAACATATAGCCAGAGTAATAAATGCAGAGTAAAAGCTGTATTATGAAATTTAATAGTCAGTGAAAGAGGAAAAACACTATAGTTTGTTAATAATTCAGAATAACAACAAAAATTACACTATAATAGGAAATAATTAGCATAGAAATTAGATTAAGTCATATAAAATTTAAAATTTGGCATGAAACAAAATGTGTATGAACTGCTGTATGAAAAATGAATTTTCTCTGTAAACTTTTACCAAAATCACAATAAAAAAAAAAAAGTTTAAAATTTAATGGTTCTTAAAAGTCTTGTTGTTTACTGTCACAAAAAAGTCAATTTGACACCCCGCAGCTTTGGTTTGCCTTTTCAATCCGTCAGCATGTTAAAGGATACTCAGTACCAGAATAATATGTGATTCTGCCACAAACTGAGCCTGGCTGCTCCCATGAATGTAACTCTATAAAACAAAAAAAGAGACAAACATTACAATCTGGGAAAAAGACTTAATTATTTTATAGTAATCATGAAGGTAAACACATGACAAACCAACTAATTAAGCATTTATATTTTTTTTAATAAAATAATTACGAGGTAATTGGAGATAACAGATGATATTGGCTGTGAACTTTGGAAAGAATCTTTCCATCAAAAGTAAACCTAATATCATTTGTTCAAGGATTTATCACACACACACACACACACACACACACAATGTACTGATTATTCCAGAGTTACTGTGAAAATGGACTTGATAGCATGAAGTATAAATTAGAGAACCAATTATTTTAATTCATGATCCTTTAAACCAAAAATTATGTACCAAATGTCAAATCATTCCTGTCTGTCTACATTATCAAAAATTCTCAAATGAAGGGTTAGCATCATAAATGCATTCATTTCATTAGGGTATTTAAATTCATCTTTCTTCACAATAATTGTTTTTACCCCCAAAATATATAACTTTTCTACAAATAGGACAAACTGTACTAGTTGATAAGAATCGATTATAGAAAATTTGAAACAAGTCACCAATTAGAATACTGTGTTTCTAAAAAAGCTGATTCCCATAGCATTTCTATTGCCAGTCACTCTTAAAAAAAAAAAAAAAAATGAGTTGCTCTTGAGTAATTTTAGATAAAAATCCTTTTCTAAGATTTTGGCTTATTAAAAAATACTAGGGAAAAAAATGATACCTTACATTATATATCAATGTTCTTGATTTTACACCATTTATGAAGGAAACATCTACCATTCTGTGGACCCAAAGTGACTTGTGTTCAGTATCTTTGTTCTTTCTGACAATAACTATGGCTAAATCATAACGGAATGAACATTTAACTAGGTGCCAGGAAAGTATTCCTTCCGAGCCTTAACCTGGACAAATCATTCAATCTCTTAGAAATTCAGTATTCCCTAATCTATAAAATTAGGAATTTAATTACATTCTTCCTATGGTCTTTTTGCCGCCACTTGTCTGTCAGTTTGTTATATTGTGGTGGCTTATGTGTTGCTATGAAGCTGGAGGCTATGCCACTGGTATTTTAAATACTAGCAGGGTCACCAAGTAGACAGGTTTCAGTGGAACTTCCAGAGTAAGACAGATTCAGAAGAAAGAAGAGTCCATCCACTTCTCAAATAATTGGCCAGTGAAAACTTTTATGAATAGCAGTGAAACACTGTATGATATATTACTGGAAAATTTTATGAATAGCCCTGAAACACTGGCCAATATAGTTCCAGAAAATGAGCCCCTCAGGTCAGAAGGCACTCAATATATGACTAGGGAAAAACTGCATCGTCAAAGTAGAGTCAACCTTAATGACGGAGATGGAGTAAAACTTTTGAGACCTCCATTTGCTAATGTAGCACAACTCAAAATGGGAATAAACAGCTACAATTATCTATTAATAATCAGAACATGTAAGGTATGAAGTATGAATCTAGGAAAACTGGAAGTTGTCAAAAATGAATTGGAACACATAAAGATCTATATCCTAGGCATTAGTGAGCTGAAATGGACTGTTTTTGGCCATTCTGAATCAGACAATCATATGATCTACTATGCTGGAAATGACAAATTGAAGAGGAATGGTGTGGCATTCCTTATCACAAAGAATGTTTCACGATCTGTCCTGAAATACAATGCTGTCAGTGATAGGATAATATCTATACACCTACAAGGAAGACCAGTTAATGCTACTATTATTCAAATATGCACACCAACCACCAAAGCCAAAGACCAGGAAATTAAAGTGTTTTTTTTTTTTTTTTAAACCAACTTCTGCAGTCCAAAATTGACCAAAGATGCAATCAAGATTATTAGTGGTAATTTGACAGTGAAAGTTGGAAACAAAGAAGAATCACCAGTAGTTGGAAAATATGGCCTTCATGATAGAAATGACACAGGAGATGGCATAACAGAATGTTGTAAGGCCAATGACCTATTCATTGTAAATACCTTTTCTCAACAACGTAAGTGGCAGCTACACACATGAACCTCATCAGATGGAAGACACAGGAATGAGATCAACTACATTTGTGGAAAGAGGCAATGAAGAAGCTCAGTGTCTTCAGCCAAAATAAAGCCAGGAGTTGACTGTGAAACAGGCTATCAATTGCTCATATGCAAGTTTAAGTTGAAGCTGAAGAAAATTAAAACAAGTCCACAGGTACCAAAATATGACCTTTATTATACCCCATTTGAATGTAGACACCATCTGAAGAACTGAATTGATGCATTAAACAATGATGAAAAACTAGATGAACTGTGGGATGACATCAAGAATATCAGCCATGAAAAAAGCAAAAGGTCATTAAAAAGACAGGAAAGGAAGAAAAGAATAAAGTGGATGTCATAAGAGACTCAAATTTGCTCTTGAATGGAGAGTAGCTAAAGCAAATGGAATAAATGACATGATAAAAGAGCTGAACAAAAGATTTCAAAGAGAAGCTCAGGAAGACAAAATTAATTATTATGATGAAATGTGTAAAGACCTGGAGTTAGTAACCAAAGAGGGAAGAACATACTTGGTATTTCTCAAACTGAAAGAACTGAAGAAAAAAACCAAGCCTCAAGTTGCAATGTTGAAAGATTTATGGGAAAATATTGACTGATGCAGAAAACATCCAAAGAAGATGTAAGGAATACACAGCCACTGTACCAAAAAGAAATGGTCAATGTTCACGTATTTCAGGAGGTGGTATATGATCAAGAACCAATGGTACTGAAGGAAGAAGTCAAAGCTGTGCTGAAGGAATTAGCAAAAAACAAGGCTCCAGGAACTGACAGAATATTAACTGAGATGTTTCAACAAATGGATGTCATGTTGGAGGCACTTACTTATCTGTGTGAAGTAATTTGGAAGACAGCTCCCTAGCCAACTGATTGGGAGAGATCCATATTTGTATCCATTCCAAAGAAAAAAGATCTCACAGAATGTGGGGATTCTTGAACACTATTATTAATATCACACTCAAGTAAAATCTTGGTGAACATAATTCAAAAATGGTTGCCACAGTAAATTGACAGGGAACTTCTAGAAATGCAAGCAGGATTCAGAAGAGAACATGGAACAAGGGATATCAATGCTGATGCCAGATGGATTTTGGCTGAAAGCAAAGAATACCAGAAAGATGTTTACTTGTGTTTTATTGACTACGCAAAAGCACGCGACTGTGTTGATCATAACTAATTATGGGTAACACTAAGAAGAATGGGAATTCTGGAAGACTTAATTATGCTCATGAGGAATGTGTACATACATCAGGAGTCTGCTGTTTGAACAAAACAAAGGGATACTGCATGGTTTAAAATCAGGAAGGGAGTGTATCCTTTCACCATACTGATTCAATCTGTGTACTGAGCAAATAATCCAAGAAGCTGGACAATATGACAAAACCAAAACCAAACTCACTGTCGTTGAGTCAGATCCGACTCACAGCAACCCCTCCTTGGGTTTCCAAGGCAGTATCACTACGGATTCTATGAAGAACACAACATCAGGATTTGGGGAAAACTCATTAACCACCTGCAATATGCAGATGACACAAATTTGCTTGCTGAAAGTGAAGATGACTTGAAGCACTTACTAATGAAGATTAAAGACTACCATCTTGCCAAAGGGGCAAGGAAGCCACATCTTCTGACCTCCTTTAAGCCCACAAGAGGAAGGCAGAATCACCATCAGTAGCCCAAGGCCTACTCCTGCTAGGCCAGACATGCTGCCTCCCTCCAGCCCTTTCACCACACATTCTTCCTGCAGCACCCACCACCTAATGGGTTCGATAATTCACTCCAGGGGCCACAAAGAACTCACAGAATATGGGGTTTATTAGGGAAGCAACAGGCTACAATTCAAGTTCAGGAACACACTCAGTCTCTCACAACCCGATGTCTCTCAGCCAATAGTCTCTCTCAGCCTCTCTCCCAGCAGTGTGCATCTCTTGGTGTCTGTCTCAGCAGTGTGTGTCTCTTGGTGTCTCTCTCAGCCAGCAGTGAGAGAGATTCCTTCTGCCTCTAGGAGGGTTCCTTTTGAGCCTAGCAGAGTGACCAAACTAACAAATCCCAACATCAGAATTCTATACACCTGAGAGAGAGAGAGAGAGAGAGAGAGAGAGAGAGAGAGAGAAACTTCCCAGATTGTTTCAAGCCACTTTGAACAGAAATACCCCAGGTGGATAATGTTAACAATCAGGAGCTATTCAGTTGCTCACGGCAAATTCCACCACGGTACAAAGACTTACGGATAGAAAAGCAACACTATGTAATTGACTACACAGCACATGTGCAGTATGGATTACCTCTCAACATAAAGAAAACAAAACTCCTCACAACTGGACCAATAAGCAGCATCACAATAAATGGAGAAAAGATTGAAGTTGTCAAAGATTTCATATTACTTGGTTCCATAATCAACAAAAATGGAAGCAGCTGTTGAGAAATCAGACCACTGGGCAAAACTGCTGCCAAAGGCTTCTTTAAAGTGAAGTGCAAAGGTGTCTCTTTGAAGACTAAGGTGCACCTAACCCAAGCCATGGTATATTCAATAGTCTCATATGCATGTGAAAGCTGGATAATGAATAAAAAAGACCAAAGAAGAGTTGATGTTTTTGAGTTGTGGTTTTGGCATAGAATACTGAAAGTACCATGGACTGCCCGAAGAACAAAGAAATCTGTCCTGGAAGAGGTGCGGCCAGAACGCTCCTTGGAAGTGAAAATGGCCAGACTTCCTCTCACCTATTTTGGTCATGTTGTCAGAAGGGACCGTTCCCTAGAGAAGGATATCATGCTTGGTAAAGTGGAGGGTCAGCAAAAAGGAGGAAGACCTTCAATAAGATGGATTGACACAGTTGGTGCAATGATGAGCTCAGGTATAGCAAGGATTGTGGTGCTGGTGCAGGACTAGGCAGTGTTTTTTTCCATTGTACATAGGGTTGCTATGAGTTGAAGCCAGTTCG